CACATTCTCCAACGTGCCACACATCAGCAGCAGCGCCCATGTTTACGCTAACAGAGCCGGTGGAAAACACAAATCGAAGACAGAGCTTTCCCCTAGTTTTGGAACTCCGAGCTTTTGGAAATCTGGCTCTCCTCTCAGGAAGTGTTGTTCCTCACCACTCTCCATAAACACTGGAAAAGGCAGCCCACTGCGATGTCCCCGCCTCACTATTTCCACTGTAAACACTAGTATGCAAGTTATAGCTGTCCAACAACATTCACCCTGAGGAACACACACTTCAGCGTAATCTTTAAATCCTCTGGACTTTATCTAAGCGTAAACAGCTCATATTTGGACCTTTGTGGATATTGTGCTAACACAGTGTCATGTTTACAATGACAAATGTTGTTTTTGTTTCTATGAATTCTTCTCTTTAGGATTCTAAGCAAAGTATTAGTATAAGTATTTGTGGATTTGTCTTAGGATTCCTGGGTCATTGGACAAAAATTTTAATTAGAACTAACCAGCTATCAGCCACTATCTTCAAGAGTGTATGTCTCTAAAGGTGCACTATGTAACTTTTCAGATGGGGGATCCACCACCTGTTTGTCTCAATGGAGATTGTCATGGCTTGTCCTGGAATGTTCCACAGTATGGCATTTATTTAGACTGCTGTATTTATTCAATTTGAGGTGTTTATCTTGCTAGAAAGCAGAGGACCAAGTTGTTGTTTTGCAAGTCTCAAGTAAGTCTCAAGTCTTTGACCGCAAGTCCAAGTCAAGTCCCAAGTCAAATACAGGCAAGTCCAAGTCGAGTTTTGAGTCTCTGGCTCATAAGTCCAAGTCAAGTCTAAATCGTCTGCTTTGAGCTTCAAGTCATTTCAAGTCTTTAGAAGCAAAGTACCAAATATAGCTTAGATTTTTGCAATTTGTATGATTTTTAAGATAAACTGTACTTAAAAAATCATAGTATCAGAGTATTTATAGAGTATATACAGTAAGAGTTGTAGAAATGTTAATGTTTTCTTTTTAAATGTCTTGACAAGATCTGAGTGTGAATCATTATGGTCAGAACAGAAAGAATTGTCGTCACAGGCCTCAAGTTCGAGTCAAGTCCCAAGTCATTGTCCTTCAAGTCCAAGTCGAGTCCCAAGTCTTACTCCATTTTATTAAGTCAAGTCTCAAGTCTTAAAAAATAGTGACTCAAGTCTGACTTAAGTCCAAATCACGACTTGCAAGAAAACCTCTGCTAGAAATACATGCATTCTTACAGTAAGTGGGCTCACCTCTCCACAGATCTGACCTGTAACTTCATGACATCACAATGGACAAAGAACATTTTGAGTTTTGGAGGTGACCGACTAATAATAAAAGGCTACAGAGACGTGTTAATGAAACAAAACACAACTCGAAGCATGTTTTTCAAGAGCTATCATTATTAGAACTTGGCTTTAAATTTCAATTTTGAGTTATATAGGCCCTTTAAATGTGTCCTGTCTATTGTACAAAGTATATAGAAAAGCAGTGTATAGCATATAGAGACATTTTGACAATAGAAATAGCAGAAACTGTGCACTAGACTTGACAGGATTTCTTATGAGAGGTATGGAATGGCACACTATTGCAACACCTTTTGTTGTTAGCTACAGCACTATGGCAAATAAGCATTAGGTTGTTTACACCGAATCTCAGGGTGAAAATGCCAAGGCTCTGTTGCAACCCAGACGCCTCCTTTCAGCTTCGTAAATGTTCGACTTCTCTCCTAACAAGTGCTTATGTCACTGCTCCCTTCGCGCACACCGCCAGTTAATAAATCTTTGCCAACCGCCCAACGAAATAAAGCTCTTTCCATCACTTTTACTTGTCATGGCATTTATTCCAGTGCGGCGCGCGGTGTGAAGGGGGGAGAGGGAGAAATCTTCAGTAAGTCACCCAAAAATCTCGAATAAGACTTGAAACGCTCACAGTTCATCTTTGTCAGAGGCTGGATTTGGCAGCGGGGTCCTTCTAATGACAATGAGCAGCACTGACCTGAAAGAGAAGCACATTTGAACATTATTGGTTTTTGTCATTTCTATGTATATATTTGTGTTACTAGGTTGTTTTTACAGACCAAGTGGTTGTTTTCATACCTGGCGGTCTTCCGCAGAGTGGCCATGTGATGTAGCTGTAACGGGTCTGGTCAACTGATTTATACAGGTTTTGGCACTGTTGTCCTATCAGCAGTCCAACTTCCTCAGGACAGTATTCCAGGTGTGTGAGAGTAAAAAAGTCCCCTTATCTCAGCTTATAAGAAGACCGCGCCAAAACCTGTATAAATCAGATGACCGCGCACTTCATGTGACCACTCTGAGGAAGACCATGAGTGAGCAGCAACTGTTAGGTTTGAAAACAGAAGACCAAATGAGCCTCGTTGGTCTATCTGTCTATCTATCTAAATATATATTGAATAACTATTTACTATTTCTGCTGCGCTCCATTTTTATCAGACGCAAAAAAAAAAAACATTTGACATTTGACACAATATTGACATAGCCTGATTCATCAGCTGACCTCGCAGCATTAGAATTCGTTCACTGGATGGTAGGCGGGTACTTTTTTTTATTTAACCAATCGCTGCTATTTGGTCATGATGTATGTAATATGCCGCAAACAGGGATAACTGGCATATTAAGTTTTTCCCTAATCCTGTAGGAAGAAGGGCAATAACATCTTTCCCCTTGATAAAATTCACCAAACATTCTCTTTATTCCGGCTTTAAATCCTTGATCTTGGGAATCGTTGAAACACTGAATATATGACTTTTCGCTGATTGGCTGGTGCCCGAACTTGCACTTTCGAGGTTTTTGTGAACCGTCTAGTGTATTTTGATTCTTGACATAGTCGCTGGAGAGAAATTAAATTGAGTGGAGGTACCAGCCTGGCTAATATTGACTACCTTAAGAATCACTAAAGTGCCACTGACAACAACTTCACCTTGACAAGTAATTCCATATGCAACCATAGACTGTATATATAAATAGACATTGCTGACCTGTTTGCCACCTAATCCTGGCATTTTTATTTTGTTATTTTGTCTGTAAATCAGTTCCTGTTGCTAATATGAAACTCGGCTCCACATTTGCCCCTATAACATCCAGCCTCAGTGAGCTTCATTTGACCGGAGCTGAACACTATGGGTGACGTCTCACTCACTTAGCCCACTTCTTTATACAGTCTATACATGCAACAAAAAAATAAAGTGGGTAGAGCATCATAATTTATTAATATAACAACCTCCCAACCACCCAACGAAATAAAGCTCTTTCCATCACTTTTACTTGTCATGGCATTTATTCCAGTGCGGTGCGCGGTGTGAAGGGGGGAGAGAGAGAAATCTTCAGTAAGCCGCCCAAAAATCTCAAATAAGACTTGAAACGCTCACAGTTCATCTTTGTCAGAGGCTGGATTTGACAGCGGGGAGTTCTGGAGTTTATCACATTAGACCAGGCCTAGCTATTGGCTGCACTGATAGCTTGGTTGTTTTTTCATCAGCGAAGTTTCATCTCAACCTGCCATTCACTTTGGCTGGGGTTGTTATGGTATTTTAAAGGTGCATTGTGTAACTTTTGTGGGGGAGAATCCGCTTTTCTCCACACAGATTGTCTGGAATGTGTCACACTATGGTATTAAAGCTTTCTATCTGCATGGAGACCAAACCAGACCAAGTTACAGGTTGGATCTGTGGACAGGCAACCCCAAAAAGTTACGCATTGCACCTTTAAAGCAGGCCTATTACGCAGAACTGTTATAGTTGTTTTTTTCCTCACCATTTACTCACCCAAAGTTGTATTTACAGTGATTTGTGTATGTTTGAGTAATCCTTAATCACTTATTTTCAAGACGCCATTTTGCTCTGTACTTACTTCGTTCTCCAATTTTATTTTCTTATTTGCATCAGTTTAGTATAAATGAAAAAAAATCTTGCAGCTTGCTAGTGTTGTCTTTGGCTATCCATCGGAGGTGCCGCCAACTTCACAGCGCTTTGTTTTGATTACATTTTGGCGTTGTCAGCTCACATTGGGCACCACATTTTTATAACTACATATCAGACACAGGCATCATTTTTGTTTTTTGATTGTTTAGATCGTGTTAGAAATTCATCGTTTTTGCTCATGAGGAGAGAAGCCACTTGTTTGTGAAGTGCACTTGACAACACATTTTCTACTTTAAATTGTATTTTATGAAGGATGTATGCAACGTTTGAAGTATAATTATTTAAAAGTGCTAAAGTGCACTGGGAGATCATCAAATAAGTGGCATTAAAACAATCTCGACTCTTTATATTGCAGTGTTTTCAAAAGCTAATGTTTCAAAGCATTACTTCATCTCTCCTTGATAATATCCACTCAATTTTATTTTCATTGATAATGTATTTTTTGAAACCTTTTATGTGCAAATAAACTCATCTTTTGTTTTTCAAATGTTTATATCAGCAATATTTTGACTCTTGTAGCTGTGGTTTCTGGAGTCAAAGGATTAATTCTTCTGTCGATGTCTCCTTAGGCAAGACGCTTCACCCGCATTGCCTTGTATGAGAGTGGTTTGTGCGTGAATGATTGGTGGTGGTCAGAGTGGCCAGTGGCGCAGATTGGCAGCCGTTCTTCCGTCAGTCTGCCCCAGGACAACTGTGACTACAATAGTATCTTACCCTTACCCAGTATGTTGTGAATGAGGAATGACTATTGTGTAAAGCACTGTTTAAAAGTCATTGTTTGAAATACTCTTGGTGTCAATTATGAGCCAAATAACAGCATTTCCAGCTTTTGCCATACTACACAAGCAGCTCTACTGCAATACCCGCATGCAGTATATGATATTACTGGTATATTTATCCATGTGTTTTGTATTGACTCCTGGGGGACTGTGTGATTCCCAGCTCTAACTTCGTACCCGCAGTCTCTTTCTTCTCCCTTCCTCTATGTGAAAACAGCATGCTCACTTTACCAGCGCTTTAACCTGTGCATGTTTGTGTGTTTACAGAGCGACAGAACAGGCACACCGACCAGAGAAGAAGAGAAGAGAGAGAGAGGAAGAGAGAGAGAGAGAGAGGTTAGAACCCCCCCTCCCTCCTTTTTTTTTATTACATTTCCTCCGCAGTGAGAGAGGAGGCAAGATGGACACTCCATATCTCCCCGCTGCGCCAGAAAACTCATCTAAATGGAAAACACATTGTCTTCATTATTTTGCGAGAGCTGAAAGAACCCGGGGTTGTCATGGTAACAGCCATCTGAGCGAGCGAGAGGGAGAGGGAGAGGGAGTTAGAGAGAGCGGGCGGCCGAGGGGCTGGTTGTGGGGCCAGAGGAATGGAGAAAGAGAGAGGGGGGAGAGGTGGAGGGAGGAGGAAGAGGTGGATGGAGAGAAGACAATAGGGATGAAAGGAGGGAAAGGAGAAAATTGACAGGTGAAAAGGTTCATGAGAGGAACTGGCTTTTCTCCCTGATCTGGAGTCTGTATGTTTACAATTTGTTTGCATACAAATACTGTATAGCTATATGTGTATGGGCGCTATAAGTGGACCTCTTTTGTAGTATGAATACCCATATGAAACACATATGAAACACAGCATTTGCATAATCGTGAAATGTGTTTTTAACTGGACTCGAATCATACTTAAACGCTATGTTCTCATCTACAGTATCTTACAATCTTGTGTCCTCATCACAAACATGCCTGGAGTTTTGTTTTATTTAATTCACTCATGTTTAACACACAAACCCTGCATATCTAAGCTGAGTTCTTCTCTCAAACAGAAAACACTACGTTCCACTGTTTGATGTCATGTGGTGATACAAAAAGTGTTACATTATGGTTTTAAACTCAACATATCTTTACTGGAATCATTTGGATAGTTTCAGTCCTTAGAATTGTCAATCTGCTGAACTGGAGGTAAAAAGTAGCTGTTAACTTGGAAGTTCCCACTACGTGACGTCACAAGGTGGAACAGAGCAGTTTGAGCTATGGAGATATTACAGATTTTTAATGAAGGATTACTCAAACATGTGTGAATGCAACAAAATACAAATCCATGTATGTTTTTGAGGACGCAACAGCATTATAACGTGGCTTAAAGCTCACAAGAATTTATTTAGTGCACTATAGAAAATATAGGAGCTTTAAATGCATGTGAAGTTAAAAATAGTGAAACATTCCACGCAATGCGATAACATCTCCTTGGAGACAAGCAGGTGGTAGATATGTAGATAGATATGTTTAATACCATGCTGTGGAAGGTTAGAGCCAAAGAAATAATATTTCCATAGAAACACCCTTCTCCAGGCTAAATAAGAGTCAGGTTTGTGGAGATGCAAGCTCGCTTAGAGTAATGACTCAAGTTTTTTCAGTGCGATAAACACAAGCGACATTAAAATTACATATTCATTAGGGCTGGGTATTATTCAGAAGTTGCTGATACCTCGATACATAGGCCACGATACGATACATATCTAGATACAGTGAGCTTACAATTCGATACTATTCAATACGATATATTTCAATCTGATTCAGTATGGTTCAATAAAAAACAAAGGCTAAATCATGGTTGTGATAATAAAAGTCTTTGTTAAACCACTTTTAAAAAAAATATATTTTATTTGCAAACTACATACATTACAAAAAATAGGAACCAAACAACATAAAGATACAAGACAAACATTACGATCGAAGATTACATACAAATAAGGACAAAGGTGACAGTGTGGACATTATTCGGATGATTTACTGCTGACGTGTATTATTACTCGTTCATCTGAATATGGAAAAGAAGTCAAGTATGTATTGGATCTTTGCCTCAGATAAACCACTTCTTGTGCAAAGTTCATACGAAAAACATCCAATTTAATCATAAAAACTGTGAAAATATCAAATTTGTGGCATAAACAAATTTTGTTCCTTTGAACAAGCACCAAAGTGTAACACTGTAACAAAATAATTTAGTAAAATATACAAAAAAAAAATATTCTTGGCGATATATCGATAGAGCAGCCCACAATACTGATACTGTATCATCACATTAAACGATACAATATATATGCCCACCCTTAATTTTCATCATCTAATACTGTGGCTTCAATTAAACTCCACAGACATCACACGCTACGGCAAATCTTACAAACATACATCCCTATAAAACTCTTATATATATGGTTCATCTGTTTCATTGCGGTGTGGACCTTATTTTAGCTTTCAAAACATGACACGCCAAAACAACCAGCCCGTGTTTGCCTGTAGTGGAGTGATTTCAACTATGTGTCTTCGCCCGTCTAAAAAGGTGTACAGCTGTCAGCACTGCTCTGGGACTTTCCATGTTTGTTTACTTGAGTTACACTGTGCCAATGTCCAAGTCTTTTCCATCTCTATGTATGAATCTGTGAGCTGTAATTTAACTCTAATGTATTCGTGCACTTACAGTTAATGCGATTGTCAGTTTGGGGTGCTACGAGGTCAGATTTAGTGGCTATTGTGAGAAGAAATATTGCAATTTGATGTTTGGTTGTTAAGATGATTGACAAAATAATTTAAAGGTGCGTTGTGTCCGTCAAATGCTTTTCTCCGTGGAATTGTTGTTAGTTTGTCTGGAATGTTTCACAGGTATGGTATTAAACTTTCTATCTTCATGGAGACCAAACCAGGTTACAACCAAGTTAGAGGTCAGATCTGTGGAGAGGCGACCCCACTCACAGTCAGAATACCAGTTTTTCTAGGTATTTGTGAGGAATAAAACCACCTGTAATTGAATAAATGTAAGGTAAAAAAGTAAAAGGTAGCTGTTGAAAACTACCTCTTCATGACATCACAAGGTGGAACAGAGCATTTTAAGGTTTGGAGATGTAGACAGAAGGGTCACTCAAACATGTGTGAATAAAACAAAACACAACTCTCTGTTTTTGAGAAGGTAACAACATTTATAGCAAGACTTAAAGATCACAAGAGTCAATTTTGTGTAATATACTGTACGACCTTTAAATTTAAATTTCTCTTTATTAAATAATGCTTGTGTTAAAGGGAGAGTATGTAACTTTCTGGAGTTAGCATGTCAGCAGTATGATTCAAGGGAAATTTGATAAAATTCACCAAACATTCTCTTTGTCCCGGCTTTAAATCCTCGATCTCGGGAATCGTTGCCAACACAGAATGTTTGGCTCTTCGCTGGTGCCCGAACTCGCACTTCTAAGGTTCTTGCAAACCGTGTAGTGTATTCCAATTCCTGACCTAGTTGCTGGAGAAAAATGAAATTGAGTGGAGGCACTAGGTGGCACCAGCCTGGCTAGGATATTATAGCCAAAAGAACAACATTTACCTATAAGATCATGTTACATTCAAAAAGACTGTTATCTCTTTTATCACAAATAATTGTCATGAAATTTGGATTTCTCATTGCTCTTTTCCAACTATTTTAGCGCAACTATTGAAAATTATACAGGCTTTCAAGATGGGCCACTTTAAAAGACTAAAGCAATCATCTGAGTTTCCCCCACACCAAATGCAAATGACCAGTTAGTGGCTCTGAGTGCAGTTCAGAACTCCTTATTCATTTCAAGGGGCAGAAAAGATGGTGGATTTAACATCTTAGAAAATCTCTCTGCTCTCGCTCTGTCTCTGTCTCTCTCTTTTTCTCTCTCTCTGATCTCTCTTTACTCTCTCTCTCTCTTTCTCTCTATTCTATCTTTGTTTTCTCTCTTTCTTCTCTCTCTCTCTGCTGTCTCTCTCTCTTTCTGCTCCCTCTGCTGTTTCTCTTTCTGCTCTCTCTTTTTGCTCTCTCTCTTGTTGCAGTCTCTCTCTCTGTGTTCTCAGGAGCTATATTTCTCTCTTCTTCTCTCTCTGTCCCCCCTCAATCTCTCCCTCTCTCTGAGAACAGGCTAAAGGCAGGAGCTATATTTCTCTCTCTCTCTCTGTTTTCTCTCTCCATTTCTTTCATAGCACAGGTTAAAGGCAGGACCTATATTTCCCTCTCTCTCTCCATACAGGTTAAAGGCAGGAGCTATATTTCTCTCTGTCTGTTTTCTCACTCCGTCTCCCTCTCTCTCTGCACAGGCTAATGGCAGGAGTTATATTTCTCTCTCTCTATCTGTTTTCTCTCTCCGTCTCTCTCTCTGCACAGGCTAAAGGCAGGAGCTATATTTGCCACGGCGTCGCTGTGCTAACATTAGCGCTTGCTTTGGTAAACACATGCAGGGGCGACGGGCTCCGCTCTCCTGCCACTTGATGGACACGCTGCCTGCTGCCATCTTTATTAGCCCGCTCCTCACACCCACCCCTGGCACCGCGCACCACGCTTTCATCAAATATTTACCACCCCTCGGTCTACAACATGCGTCCGGGCTATAGCCAATACAAGCCCAGCGCCAAGGCCACTCTCATCCTGCGCTTCTTCTTTTCTGTGGATTTTCACGTCACTCATTTCTGCATCAGCCTGAAGATTAGAAGACAGAAGTCTATCTGACTGTTTACTTGGTACGGCTAATTCAAACATAATTGAAGTTTGAATGGTCATATATACGCCAGGGCTTTGGGGGTCTATAAACTGATACTAATCAATGCAGGGTTCCCACAGTCATGGAAATCCTGGAAAACTCATGGAAATTGAAAATGTCATTTTCCAGGCCTGGAAAAGTTATTTAATTTTGTAAATTCAATGAAAGTTTTGGATCTCTTTCACGCAAGTACAGTGTTCTTTTAAGTTACAATTATGATTATTTTAAACATATGCGCCTTTTGTTTTAAAGAGATGACAATAAATGCACTGACAGTATTTTGAATGAAAAAACTATAATATCCAAGTGGTATTATGAGTGGAAAGGGTTAACATTTCATATTTAGCCCTAAAAATAATGCAAAATTTTACACATATAGGTGCCGTAAAGAAATATCATATATCAAAAATAGAATGTCCTCATGACACTGTTAAAGAATTTACTATTATTTTGAGTTGAAGTTACATTAGAGTGATCAGATGTCCCTATTTACCCGAAACAGTCCCAGTTTTGAGCCCTGTGTCCCCTGTCCCAGCAGATTTATCCAAAATCATTGATTTGTTCCAGTTTTATACTAGA